CCCATCAGCCCATTGCATAGAGTGAGGCCGGAGGCTCACAGGCCTCTCTGTAGGTCTGCAGTGTGGTTCCACGCCAGACCGCGGTCTTAAAAAAGAACATGAGACTTTTCACTGGAAATATAGACCTCCCAGTTTATTTTCAGCAAAAAGAAGATTGTTCAGTAGTGTTGTTACAAGTGGAAACAAACCACTATTTGATGAAAAATGTAGACTTTAGTCTCTAAGGTGATTTTAAGGTTGATCGGAAAGAGCAAATCTGTGGTAAAATTCAGGAAGTTTGGAAAGGACGTTTAAGGGGAAATCCATACCATTACATCCGAAACTGTAAACTGCTGACAGTGAGAATGAGGTGGTACACGGAGGAGCAGGTGGGTCGACAGAATAGCACAGAATGGGACGCTCACGAATAAAGTCGAGTTTTCGTGACATTCGAAAGCGGTGGGGAGAAGAGAGATTTCTTCACTGGGGTAGCGAGTCTGTGACCGGGAGCATGGTTCATCTCAATGCACTGAACAAACGACAGACTAGAAGGAGCAAACATCTGACTCTAAACCCCAAACCCCAAACCCCAAACCCCAGAGCCTCAGGAGGAACCTGGATCTTTCATAGTCTTGAGGCCGGGGCACTGTAAGTGTGGCGTCTGGAAGGCGAGAGTTTTATTTATTTTTTTTTTTAAATTTTATTTTTTTTCAACGTTTATTTATTTTTGGGACAGAGAGAGACAGAGCATGAACAGGGGAGGGGCAGAGAGAGAGGAAGACACAGAATCGGAAACAGGCTCCAGGCTCTGAGCCATCAGCCCAGAGCCCGACGCGGGGCTCGAACTCCCGGGCCGCGAGATCGTGACCTGGCTGAAGTCGGACGCTTAACCGACTGCGCCACCCAGGCGCCCCAGGAAGGCGAGAGTTTTAAAGGAAAATAAAGAAAGATTTAGACAATTTAAAAATTAAAAACTTACGACAAAACCAACACATAAAACTAAAACACAAAACACTGGAAAATATTTGTAATATGTATGACAGATTAAGAACATAAATACAAAATATGGAGAAAGGTTAAAAAATTTAGAAGTCAGAAAAATGGGAAAGGATATTGATGTTATCTAGACCCCATGAGGGGGTAAGACAATGGTTAGTATCGTGTTCTGTTGGTGAGAGTATAAATTTTTATCATCTTTCTGGAGGATTGTCTAGAAATACTTATTAATGTGTTTATTCTTTTCCCCACATTCACTCAGCAATTTCTTTTGTAGATATTTACTCCTAGAGGATAGCTGGGCAAACGTATTATAGTTGTTTATCACGATGAAAACTTAGACATAACTTAGAATGTGCATCTCCTGTAGATGGGTTAAATAAATTAGAATATATTTATACAATGGACTCATTGAAACCTATTATGTGTGTTACAGTCATTAACAGAAAAACAGTTTCATTATAGAGTATACTATTAAAAGTACGGCAGGACACCATCTGCATGAGATTTTTATATACATTTATTAAACAGAATTTCTGGAAAGATGTTCCCCAAAATGTTAACAATGGTTAACTCTGCAAAGAAGAATTTCAAGTGATTTTCTATTTTCTTCGTACTTTTCTATCTTCTTTAAAAGTTCTAATTGTATTAAAGTGTCGTATTTTTCAAAAAGTGATTTTCGTTTTGAAGACAAAAAAGAGGGGGATTGACAAAGTTGTACCTGGAAGATACTTTGTATCCTTGAATAAAGTCAATTGTATGCAAAGAAGAGTAAGACAGAATTAACTATGAATTCAACTCCAAAAGCTAAGAAAACAAACAGCAAGAGAAACAGGAAAACAAGGGTAGGGAATTAATAGGAATGAAAGTAAAACATAGTGAATTGAAACTAGAAAAATACTACAATTAACAAATGTCAAAGATCTGTCTTTGGAAGAAAAACAATGAAATAGGTAAGCCCTGGTCGGGTCTCACCAAGAAAAAAGAGAAAGGAAGCCCCACAGAGCCAACACTGGGAATGCCAGAGAGTATGATCACGGACAAAGAGAAACGCTTACAAGCACGCCTCTCAAACTGGCAAATGTTTTTAAAAAATAGTATTAGTGTAGGACTCCGAAATCTGACTTTGGGGTATTTATCCAAAGGAAATAATCACAAGATAGGTACATAGAGAGATCGATCGATATATAGATGGAAGGGAGACATCAGAGACAGAGAGAGAGAGACAGAGACAGAGAGGCAAAGAGAAAGACAAGAGACAGAGAGAAGGCAAAGAGGTAGAGGGAGACATGAGAGAGACAGAGAGAGGCAAGGAGACAAAGACAAAGAGAGACACAGATAGAGACAGAGACAGAGAGGCAGAGACAGAGACAGAGAGAGAGACAGGAAAAGAGGGAGAGGGAGGGGAATATATAACCCATTATGAACTCCCATGAATAACTGATGAATAATAGTGCTCATTTCTGGATAGGGAAATTATGAACAATTTTATTTACTTTATGTCCACTTTCTAACCAACTGTGAATCACCAACACACCAAGAGAAAATTTAGAAGGTATAAATGAGCAATTGACAGAAAAATAGGCAATAAACACTTCTTTAAAATTCAGCCATGACTAGTAATAAAAGAAATACAAACGAGAACAATGACCTAATACATTTTTATTTTTTTAAATTTTTTTCTTTTCAATGTTTTATTTTTATTTTTGGGACAGAGAGAGACAGAGCATGAATGGGGGAGGGGCAGAGAGAGAGGGAGACACAGAATCGGAAACAGGCTCCAGGCTCTGAGCCATCAGCCCAGAGCCCGACGCGGGGCTCGAACTCGCGGACCGCGAGATCGTGACCTGGCTGAAGTCGGACGCTTAACCGACTGCGCCACCCAGGCGCCCCATATATGTCCCATTTCTAATAGATTCAAGGAGAACCTGGCTGTGCGATGTACTTCTGGGCAAGGTTTGCCCTTCAGATAAGAGGAAAGATGTGATTGCCTCCGCTCCTTCCCAGTGGTCTGTCTGGGATGTGGATGTTATGGCTTGAGCTGACGGCAGCCTTCCGGAAAACTCCAGGGGGATGCCACAGGCATCCACTGCTGGCCCTGGGAGTTTTGAACCTCTGAACCATCATCAGCAGTGGCCCACCTTCAGACATGCGGTTGTGTAAGGAGATCAGTCCCTCTTTGTTTGAGACGGGCTTTCTGATACTTGCTGCAAAAAGCATATCTGCTTTACATGTGCAATAGACGCATTTGAAAGAAACTATTTTTGTTAACATTAAAGGTGGGCTAAAAGGACTGGAAGAACATGTCCATATCTTATCTGTATTTTCTAGGCAATACCGATAACACACTTACAATAACAATCTAGTCAAAGTTATTTAAAAATGTGTCATAGCCTGGAACACATCCAGTCCCACGACACTGACCTCAAGAGACCTAGTAGACCTGGAATTGATTTGCTGTGTGATCTTGGGAAAACGCCTCATGGCTCTAGAACATAGCCTCCAAATCTGGGTACAGACAATGAATCAGAGGACTTAAGGCTCCTTGCTTACAGCTCCAGCCAAGCAGCTGAGTATTGACCTCTGAGCCTGTCTTCCCTACGGACAATGACTGACCAAAAGTGTACTCTGTGCAGGGAACCCGTTCAGGCTGGGAAATAAACACTGTCCCTGCCCTGGCTTGGAACGGAGGGTATACTCATGGGCACAGAGAAGACGCTGGTGATTACTAGACACAGGATGGGGTGGGGAGCAAAACGGGAGAAGGCTAAAAAGTACAAACTCCCAGCTACAAAATAAGTCATGGGGATGTGATGTATCACATGGGGACTATGGTTAGTAATAGGTCCTATATTATTACTTGAAGCTATTTTTTTACTGTTTGTTTTTGAGGGAGCGCAAGCAGAGGAGGGGAAGAGAAGGGGTGACAGAGGATCTTCAGTGGGCTCTGTGCTGACAGGCTGATAGCAGCGAGCCCGGTGTGGGGCTTGAACTCATGAACCATGAGATCGTGACCTGAGCCAAAGTCAGACGCTCAACCAACTGAGCCACCCAGGCACCCCCATATATTTGAAAGTTGCTAAGAGAGTAGATCTTAGACGTTTTCATCACCAGAAAAAAACTGTAACTATGTAACGTGATGGACGTTCATCAGATTACCGTGGTGATCATTTTGCAAGATGTACATACAAATACTGAATCATGACGTTGTGTATCTGAAACTAATACGTTATGTGTCAATTATCTCTGAAAACAAACAGAAAAACAAAAACAGTGCGTGGGAAGCATGGCACCAAGGATCACTTTCTAATGTTCTTTGTGGCGTCAGAATACCGTCTGACGTGATTCTCCTCTGTTAAGAGTGGAGCAAACCCTCCCCTAAGCCTCCCAACCAAAGCCCTAATTCTGCAGCACGTTCTAGCACCTTCTTGCTAAGATGCCCAGTGCGTCCTGTCCAGCTATACACCTGCAAGTGTGTTCCTGGAGGTCTCAGGCTAGGAGGCATTGCCAACAGTGGGGATTCTTTTCTGCTACTACTAGTAAGGATTATTTTTTGAAAATTGTTATTGTTGTTGTTAATCAAGTGGGTCTAGCACGTAGGGTGCATCCCTGGCAAAGGGGCGGAGACTCCACCAGAAGGCGGATTTGGAAGAGCATGCAAAACGTTTGCCTCGTGTCCTTTTGTGTGAACTGGGGGTCATCGAACAGCGGACCACTGATTCTCACACACACGCACACACACACACGCCCAGAGACATGCTGACAAATCCAGATTTTTAGAAGGGCCCTCCACGAAGGCAGGGAACTTGTCTTTCTTGTTCACAGCTCAGTCTCCAGCATGTACCAAAAATAAAATAAAATAAAATGAAGTAAAATAAAATAAAAAATAAAGTAAAATGAAATAAAATAAAAAATAACAAAATAAAATAATGACATCATAAAAATAAAAAGATAAAATGCAGATTTGGTCGCACGGCCCAAACTCGATACGTTTTTCTTGAATAATAAGTGAATTCAAGCACCCCGAAAGTCTTTCTAACAGCTTACTTTGAATACTACTGGATCAGGTAGACAAACAGCGAAGACAGAGAGAGCGCCGACTGTCTACCAGGCAGAGCACGGGACATTTTACGTGTGTGAGCTGCCCCTCCTCCCTGGCCTGATGAAGCAGACCCTTTCTTTTCTTCCTTTTTCTTGTCGAGTACAGTTGACACATGTTAAATGCATTCGTTTCAAGTGCAGCACAGTGATTCGGCCACTTGATAGGTGCCGCCATGGTCACCACAAACGCGGCTTCCATCTACAGTAGATACTATTATTAATTCAGTTTTCTGGAGGTGGAAACTGAGGTGCAGACCGGTTAGTGACTCACCAGAGATCCACGGCAGGCAAGTGGTTGGGTTGGGATTTCAGTCCATGCGGTCCGACGCCGGCGTTGGCTCAGCTTCCCCAATCCCGTCCTGCCTCGCGGTACAAAGTACAGGTGTAGAGGGTAGTGATAGGTCATGAACTTCACGGGTGTATTCGCATGCGTGTATCCAAAAGCACGCATTGTTTCCTTCAGCTGAACAGTCGTTCATTGTTTCCTGCAAGGAGTAGGAGGAACAATGCTTCCTGGGTCTATCGGTCCTGTAACAGGCCGCAAAATGGAACTTAGGCAGATCCCGTGATTCAACCACAACAAAGTAAGCACCGAAACTACTAGGGGGAAAGGCAACCATGTCGGAATGGAAAGGGGGTGGAAGGACACGTTTGGAAGAGATGAAAAATTACAAGGTGGTGACAGGTGTAGCTGTGAGAGTCTGCCGTTGTGAACGAGGTGGGCAATTTTGTAGGAAAATGTCAATGACTACGATTGACCCAAGGAGGAGGGGGGCCTTTCCTGTAGGAAACACTCACCCCACGCGTGCTTGTTTTCACCCAGACATGGGGGGCGGGCCTCCGCGAAGCCGGGGCGCGGGCCGCTCACCTTGCAGATACGATGCCGCGTGCTTTGAGTCCTGGGCAGCCGGAGCAGGTGCGCTCAGGGACGGGGCTGGGATGGATACAGACCCTCGAGCCCACCCCCCCTCCCCTGAGTCTTACCGCCACAGCCCCCCTCTTCCCTTCTTCTCCCGCCCACGCTGTGGGCGGAAGTCCTGGACCCCAGGGCGTTTGAGGAAGGAAGCCCGAGGAAGGCAGAACAGCGTGGACAGCAGAGGAGACCCAGGCTCACGTCCCTCCCGGGGTCCGGCACGTGCGGCGTCAGGCTTGCGGCGCGCGCGCGCCCCTCGACCGGCCCCGGGG